TGTATATTTATGAGATTCCACGTGCATATACGATTCTACGATTCTACGACATATACATATACGTTGATATATGGAAGAAAAACGGCAAGTTTCGGTTATCATGCGTCGGGTTTCATAAAATAATGAGAGACTTTTGACCCGAAATTCGAATTCAGTAAATGTTCATCCAAGCAATTAGTTTGACCATTAAAGCTGTTATCGTGTCTTTTTTTCGCTTACGTAATGTAAAAATCGTCCAAATATTTGTTTGTGTTAATTAGATTTCATATTGATTGCAGCGGCATCATTAGCTAAGTTATTGATGACATATAAATTACTTATGCTTAATATTTTCCCTCAATGTTTTTCGTTATGGTTGTAATAAGGTGTATTTTATTTCATAAGCCAGGAAATGAATACATTTACATTTACACGCACACACACACACACACACACACACACACACACACACACACACACACACACACACACACACACACACACACACACACACACACACACACACACACACACCACACACCACACACACCAGACTCAGACACTTGCGTGTGTGTAATATTTGTTCACTTTTTTCTTGAATCTTGTTTTTCCCAATCGCTGCATTACTCTCCACGACGCTACCGATTCCGATCCACTAGACGTCACGTAAAAGTTGAAATTGCTGATTGAATTCCATATTGTTTTGGTCATATTCCTATATTTTGTGTTTTGTTTTCGCTATCGTTGCGATCATACTGACTCGGTTTGACATCGCAAATGTTTCCCACCGTAGGATCAAACTTGCCATATTATGTATATATATATTTGTATTCATATTTAAGATTATATTCACATTTGCTTTATGTACTTAAATATGTGATTTTTTTCGCATTGTGTTCCCCTACAGTCGTAATCGTCAATATAGACGCGTTTAGAAAAATATCCGGGATATTTGCAACGCAGTGTTATGTTTTGGTTGTTTGTTGAAGCGGCGAATATTGTTTCCATATTATTTTTCAACGCTTCCCATTTTAAATGTTTTCCATGTATGTTTCCTATTGTTTTCTCCGTTCAAACTCTCCGTTATTACAACGTGCGCCGCTTCCCTTCACGATCTGCGAGAAACGCCGCATGAAAGTTGAGATTGGTTATTGAAGTGGCCAAGTTGCGCCTGGGGAACCGCCGCCAGGCTCCGACAAGAGCTGAAGCGGGACTATCGACGATTATTCACCAAACAAAATGGATGGAACTGAAATGGAATTTAAAGATTTGAAAAGTTCATCAACATCAGTGATATATAGAATAAATGATTAAGCTTTCTCTTTTTCCCCCTTTTCCATTTCGTCAGATAAATAATGTGCGCCTGAAATTGAAAAGCTTATCAGTATCATTGATATATAGAATAAATGATTCAGTGTTTTTCCTCCCTTTTCAGTTCATCGGATAAATGATTTTGTACACCCGATTTCGCAAGTACGAAGCGAACGGCTCCTCCTGCCCCCCCCTCCTCCCCCTCATTTTTTGGAGCCCTTGTTTTTCTTTTCCTTGATGTTTTTCTTTTTACACAAAGGAATCAGCGGATCTTTTGATGTCGTTTTTGAAATGCAGGTCAGCTCCGGTATGTGGAATTAAACTTGGGAGCCGTGAGAGAACGTGACTCGCGCGGTATCCGACTTTCATCTGGGCCCGCGCAGGAGGAGGAAGGGAAAGGGGGAGGGAGAGGAGGAGGTGGAGGAGGAGGTGGAGGAGGAGGAGGGGGGGAGAGGAAAGGGGAAGGGAGAGGAGGGGGAAGGGGAAGAGAGGGGTGAGGGAGATGGAGGAAAGAGGACAGGAGAAGAGGGAGGAAGGAAAAGGGAAGGGAGGTATAAGGAAGAGGGGGAATAGAGCAAGGACGTGAGGAAGAAGAATGCGAAAAAGATGGAAAAGAAGAGAAAGAAGAAATCGTCAACGGAGAAAAAAAAGAGCAATGGGAGTTGACGAAGGAAATGCAGAAAGCGAAGAGGAAAGAGTCAGAGCAAAAGAAGACTGATGAATAGAAAAAAAAAGAAAAAAAAAATGCAGGAAGGGTGAGAGGAGGATCAGCGGCAGGAGATTGTGGGACGGATTGCAATGCGCAAAGGGAAATAGAAAGGAAAGGAAACGGAATGGAACTGCCGGGTGTAGTGAGTGACAGATGGACTCGCAGAAAGACATAGACAGACGGACACTCACTCACTCACTCACTCACTCACTCACTCACTCACTCACTCACTCACTCACTCACTCACTCACTCACTCACTCACTCACTCACTCACTCGCACACGCACACGCACACGCACACGCACACTCACACTCACACTCACACTCACTCACTCACACTCTGATATACAAAACAAACAGACAGACACGGTGACACACAACGCAGACAGAAAAAACAAAGATACTGTATGCAATCAGAGAATACAAGTTGAACTACTTGTTGAAAAAATTAGCCGTTCGTGTTTTCATTATCGTTACGTTTACACTGCCGGGCTGATGAAAAAAAAGAAGAAGAAATACTTGTAAGTACACGTAGCCGGATAAAGTTTAACTGCAGCTTATAAACGGCTGACCTTTTATTTATCATGTGTTGCCTATTTTCTGAAGCAATTTTGTTTGAAGTATGTAGTCATAAGAAAGTGTTTATTCCTTAAGTGTTAAATGCAGAGGCCAAAATGAGACCTCTTTTCACATATTTTCATCTTATGGGGAAAATAAACTTCTAGTGAACTGCTCAAAAAGGGCATTTCGTTGTTTTATCATTTATATCTTCGGTCTTGTTTCCTCGCTTCTACATTGCAGTAACGCTCACTGCCCTGCGCTGTTTTCATGATCCTGTTTAGAATTTCCGTGGGTTATGTCAGCAGACGAGCAACACACGAAGCCGAGGCAGATTTAATAGATTTGATAGAAATAGATAGATAACGAATGAAGAGTAAACACAACAACAAGCAAAGATGAAAAAAATGTACGTGTTAAAAAAGACCCATTCCCCGCTCCCCCGCTATAAAAAGCGTTTTCATTAAACATGGTTGGCCTGGGGTAAAAAAAAATTGGTTTCTTTGTGAGCAAAATAGCAGTACCGTAATCGTTGCAGCATCATTTTATAATCTATTTTTGCAACAACTGCGGACCGTTGCAAAGCGAGGCAGCGTAATGTGGCTATGAGTGGAACAAAAAAAAACGTAACCGAATTAAAAAGAGAACGCGTGGATTCATTATATCCTTTTCCCATTCAAAGAGTCTTTCTTAATAACGCAACTAAAGTTGTTATGCTAATTTGGAGGCATCTACATTACGAGGACAAACGACTTTTATAATGCTTATTTAGCTTATATGAAATTTCGTTGAGTATATGTATTGTATTTGTGATCGTATTTTCGTATATTTGTATTTCGCTCTGAGACGGAAGTATCCGGCTCCACCATTTACCAATTTCCCGGAGGCTGCTTTGTATGTCGAGCACGTGGTGCGAACAAGTACTCCATCCCCATCTGCTGTCTAATCCCCATAATCGAATAACCGAGACCCGACATCTGCGTCAGGTGCGCTTTGTTCTCTGGGGCGGGACTGTCGTTCGGAATCCCGCGGGCGCATCTCCCTCTGCAGTGGGGAATTGGCCATGCAGGAGCCGTGTCCTTGGCGCATATCGTAAGAACGTGACATGAGGCGAGCTCCGAGTCGTGTTGAAGTCCGGTTTTTATTGCGCGAGAATCCAGCAGAGAAACGGCGGAAACGGCGACTACCACGAGGGAGGGAGGGGCCGGCTTCAACGCGCCCCATTGTCCTCTGCAGGTTAGTGACAGGGCGTTTTATTAGGGGCATCACGGCGCGCATATAAATGGTCGGATTATCACCGTATAGGACGTGCTTGCCTTGGTAACCGATCCTGGCTCGCAACATCATCACCGCGGACAAAAAATGGAAGATAATGAAATATAATGAAACGCATTTGGTTCTGTAACAGCTTTTAATCAAATTTGCAAATGGTCCATTTTTCAAGTGGAACAGCTTTTTATTCAAGCATTGGAATGTGGTATGCTACACTGCAGATAGAGCTAGATAGACAGACAATCGTATAGACAAAGAGACAAATAAACACATAAACATACAAACATACAGCCAGTCAGGCAGATAGACGCGGAAACTCAACGATAACGAGTATTTTCCCCACGTTCTCACTCTGTTTTGCCCAATCATCAGCGACTCCCTCCACCAAGAGCGTGTTTTCAGATCTGTTTCTCTTGGCCCTTCGAGAAAAAAATGAAAAATAAGAAAGGCGAGTCCGACAAGCATACATTTCGCTTCTCTCTCTCTCTCTCTCTCTCTCTCTCTCTCTCTCTCTCTCTCTCTCTCTCTCTCTCTCTCTCTCTCTCTCTCTCTCTCTCTCTCTCTCTCACTCTCTCTCTTCCCCACCTCCCTCCCTCCCTCTCCTCCTCTCCTCTTCTCCCTCTTCTCCCTCTTCTCCCTCTTCTCCCTTCATCTCTCTCTTACTCTCTCTCTTTCTCTCTCTCTTTCTCTCTCTCTTTCTCTCTCTCTTTCTCTCTCTCTTTCTCTCTCTCTCTCTCTCTCTCTCTCTCTCTCTCTCTCTCTCTCTCTCTCTCTCTCTCTCTCTCTCTCTCTCTCTCTCTCTCTCTCTCTCTCTCTCTCTCTCTCCCCCCCCTCTCTCTCCCCCTCTCTCACCCCCCCTCTCTCCCTCTCCTCTCCTCCTCTCCTCCTCTCCTCGTCTCCCTCTTCTCTCCCTCCATCTCTCTCTTTCTCCCTCTCTCTCTCTTACTCCCTCTCACTCTTCCTCTCCCTCTCTTCCACTCTCCCCCTATATATATACATATGTGTATGTGTGTGTGTGTGTGTTTGTGTGTATGTGTCTGTAATATCGTATTAGATTGTCGGAATCAGCTAGGTGATGTGGTTAAGGAATAAATGGGAAGTTGAAAAAGTTAAACATCGGTCGGTCGGTTGGTCTGTCGGTCTGTCGGTCTGTCGGTCTGTCTTTCTCTCGATGCTCTCCGAGTCCGCTTCCTCAGGCCATTACCCCGACAGAGATGCCATCAGCCAGGCAATTTTCCAAGACTAAACTCCGGCCTTCTGTGTGGATAATTGCCCATAGACGGCCGAGCTTGATTCCCCGCCTGATCCTCGCTCCGTGCGGGGATCTTGCGTCGCAGTTTATGCTCCCCGCTTCCTGAGACCCCCCCCCCCCCCCCGCGCTTCGGAGACCAAGCCCCCGAGATCGTTGGAGGCTTTTTGGCGACGGGATCTTTCGCTGTTTTTTCTCGGGATGGGTATGCCGTCAGCACTAGGTTGGCTCGTGCTGTTTTGAACCAGTCTTGCCTTGTTAAGATGAATTCGATGTTCAATTTATTATATTTGACTTTTGTTGGTTTATTTACTTATTATGATTACTAATTTGACCATTGCGTATTTGTTTCGGTTCCGTTCATCTTGGATGTTGATATAGAACTAATCGAAATTCAGTAGCTGTTGATAGACAACAGTTAAAAGTGTATACATTACAAGTTGGCCTCGAAACCAAAGAATAAAAAGGAGTTTTGACTTCTTACGTCAGGATGTCGTTCAAAGTCCGCGAAATGAACAAGCTTTGCATCTGATTAGGAGAGATTTATTCTGGAAGGAGGCTTACACACCAGAATAAGTCATGTTTTCTTCTTTTCTGCTGTTGCTACAACTACTGTTACAATTATAGTTGTTTTTACCGTTTTCACCAGTTTCTGCTTGTCTTTTCTGCTACTTTTTAATGGTGCTGTTGATACAGTTCTCGCCGTTTTCCCGCGCTCCTTTCGCTGCCCGATCTTCGCGAGGGGTCTTTTGCAGCGAAGTACTTTATCTTTA